TTGGGACACCTGAATAGACATAAGGGTCTTGAACATCTAGCTCTCACTGGCAAAATTGAGGGCAAGCGAGGCACGGGTAGGCCCAGAACAACATATTTAGGGAACCTAAACAAACGGGTAACAAGGAAAGATCAGGGAAACGTACCTTTTTTAGAGCATCCGAGCAAAGAAATGAATGGAGAACCATAATCGCCGATGTCTGTCTCAGATCTGGCGCTGGATGATGATGATGGACGGGCAAGCCATAAATCTGAATTATCCTCCTGTCGACCAAGTTGATGACAATGGCACTGTTGAAAAAGTGGCACTTCTTGATGCTAGACAAGCTCAAATAAACTTTCGTAGAGAGCAGAGTAGCAAATTCCAGATGGAACAAGCAGAACGGATGATAAAAAGAAATAGAATAGAACTCTCTCCAGGCCAGAAAGGTAACAATGTTGCCATTCCCATTCCTCTTGTTGATTGGGGCCGTGGCGACCCATGAAAAATTCTGGCTGTTGTTTTGGACAGAAGGGACAACATACTACACGCTAATTGCCAAGCCAAACATGGAATCTTGAAAGGGACATACAGCAGGAACAAATTTGAACTTTGCCTTGAAAAATTACTTCTGATGAGAGATGTTAACAGCACCACACATGCTTGTTTAAGAGAAGCGGTTGTATATGGCTCTCAGTGTGGCGGTCAGGATTACATTAAATGCAACTGTTCAGGGTCAAAGAAATGCCAAACAAAACACATGCAAATGCTTCAAAGCAAAGCTCAAATGTAATAGTCGATGCCACCAAAGTCTCAACTGCAAAAACAAATGAGCTAAGGTAAATGAACGTTCTTTATTTAATTATCACTTTTTATTATTATATTTGTTTTTATTAAACGGGATGAATAAATTACCGCATGCATCCCCTGTCATTTACTTTACATCTGTCATTCCGCCATTTTGCTTTTTTCCGATGGTAGTCATTCCTAGGAAATGCCTGACTGCCTATTTCATTCATTCTCTGAAAATGACTAATATTTTTAGGCATTCCTGGAAATGCGTGATCAAAACAGGAATTGCTTGGGAATGTTTCTGGGTTTGACTGTAACACACACACACACACACACACACAC